AAATGCCATTAATAATAATTAATTAATAGCTCGCGACCATGATCAGCTAGTAGTCGAAAATTTACACCACAGTTGAAGATAAATGTTGTCTACTCACTGCGACACTTTTAGGCTTATAAATCAAAGCTTTTGCAAGATATGAATTTTTTATGATTTAGACAGTTTTTAGTGAAAATATATCTAAATGAAATAAGTCTTTTCTGAGTCGATAGAGGTATCTAAAAAGTGATAACAAGTTTTTAGGTTTTCAATGGTGAATTTTCACTAAAAACTGTCTAAATCATAAAAAATTCATATCTTGCAAAAGCTTTGATTTATATGCCTAAAAGTGTCGCAGTGAGTAGACAACATCTATCTTCAACTGTGGTAAAAATTTCCGACTCCTAGCTGATCATGGTCGTGAGACATTAATTAATTATTATTAATGGCATTTTCATTAATTAACTCATATCTCCGTCAAAAAGGTGCATGGGCCCAAACCAACTTGGGATTTTTCACTACTGACTATTTCCTACATGATGAAAATAGTCTGAGTCGAAAAGAATCACCTCGAGAGGTTCCCTCGTCAGTCGGCTACTGTTTACACCTATGCGAGTTTTTACCGTTATACTTTGATTTCATACCGTAACAGAAGGGAATTAGTGCACGAAAACTAGATACTTGCAATCCGAGTTCGGCTTTAGCTACAAAATCTATCGGGTTTGAAATTTTCTTCAGTGACGTTTTTCTCTTTTTTTGCTGAAATGTTCAACACTAGAGTTGATCATTTTTTAAGCGTTTTTTTAAGAAAACAAGAAACATCAATTTCACAAGCGATTTTTGACTTTTTACGTCAAAAAAGCTCAAACTTTTAACTAATTGTCGGGGTTCGGATCCTAAAGAGGGACGTAGAAGCGAGGGCAAGTTTGGTAAGTTCAACCCGCGCAACATCTACCGAAAACACAATCGAAGTTCTATACTGCCATTACACAGCGATATTACATCTGCCCTGTCTCAAAACAGACACTAGCACCATTGCATTCTTCATCTGAAGTTACATGCTGCAAATATATCACATTAATTTAAAACGTATCAAGTATATACTCATGTAATCTAAACAAGACAATCCCAAAATTCTAGAACTTTATTATTTTTAGAACGACTCGACTGTCTGTCTATAAGAAGCAAAGAGTGCTCCGGTAGATCAAACACAAAGAAACGGACCATAATTCTGCATGCATACCCACGAAAAACAATCGGCTCTATCACAATGTAAGAATAGTTAAAGGCAAGAAAATTGGCCTATCACCGGAACAAAAAAAAGTAAAGTAGTTTTTGAGTTGCTGGAAAGTGCTTTTTCGTGTTCAGCATACTCAATAATGGCGCAAAAAAGTTTTCATGGTAAAATAATATTAGTTTCAAAACTTTTCCTAAACCTTTGAAGGTACCCCTCACCAAAAATAGAAAATCTTCTGGGTTATCGAGTATGCTGAATACGAAAAAGCGCTTTCCAGCAACTCAAAACCAACTTTATTTTTTTTCCTGTGACATGTCATAGATTTTTACGAATGCAAGGTTAAAGTCAGAGATGGGCGAGTACACAGTTCCGAGTACGAGTACTAGAAATTTTGTACTCGAGTATACTCGTACTTGGTCATCTCTGGTTAAAGTGCGTGATCCGAGCGGCTTTTTCTACACGTTATAACAGGTGATATGAAAAATGCGTGAACATGAGTGACAATTTCACTCCTAATAACGCATTTTGTATATGGGTAATTTCCCTGTATTGTACTAGTGATAGAGAGACAGAGTGCATGGGCGAAATTAAACGTAGGCGTTATTACAGAAATATGATTTTTAGAAAAAGAGAGTATTTTTTTTCATGTATTGTTATTGATTGAACAGTGTCGTACGAAATGAGTAGTGTTGATTGACGTTGATCATCTCAGGAGACTTTTATTGAGATTTGATTGTGATGAACCTATATATATAAAATGGAAAAAGAAATTATCAATGGCTCTTTATTTCATTTTTTTCTTTGTTTTTCTTATCTTTTTCCAATTAATTTAGTTGCTTATACTAATTTATAATGTGTGTGAGTGCGGAGAAAAAACTCGATAAATTTCAATAACAACGTGATATAAAAAACTTCAACTCGAAATAAGCTATATGTATGGTTATATGATCTAAATTGCATGCTACTTGTCTAATTTTTATTCTCGTTTTTCAAAGAAGAAAAAAAAGATCATCTACCATCAGTAAAATGATGAACATGGCACATCATGATATTTTTCTTCTTTTTTTTTTTGTTAATACCTGTCTTTCTCATCAAATCGACAAAATGTTCAGATAAAAAAACTAATTGTTTTCTTGACGTTCATAGGGTAAGATTTGAAATGGATATGTTCTAATAGAAACAAATTATTCTATTTAACATACTACTAATTCAATTAAATTCACAAATTGTGTTATATATCAAGAAAAGAAATTATGCGCACATTTTTCAAAATAGATTAAAAGATGTACGGTTTATATAATACCATCAAACAAAAATTGAATAATTATAAACAATTTCCATATCAAACCAATTCCAAATACAAAACAAAATTTGAATTAATTCGTTTAAGTGCCGTCGTTTGTGGAATTGAATTTTGTTATGCTGCTGAAACAGCATTTGTTAGTCCTATATTACTTACGATTGGTATGCCTGTCATATTTATGACATTTTCATGGTGTTTATCACCATTAATTGGCTTTTTTCTTGTACCCGCCCTTGGCAGTTTAAGTGATAAATGTAAAACATGCATGGGAAGAAGACGTCCATTCATATTGTTATATTCAATTGGAATATTAACTGGTCTACTGTTAGTTTCAAACGGTTAGTAAAATTGATCATTTTTACTTGAAAATAGTATGATTCCTTTGATTTCTCTCAATCACACGGGCTTTCTAAGATTCTAACTAAATGGGAAAATTATATCCTGTTTCTTCACCTTTCAACAAATCAGTCAGTGTACATAAAAAACCGAGAATACTACGCACCTTTTTAAACTAATCCGATTATTGTGATTTTGATATAATAGTAACAGTCTACACCTTTTTCGTTTAGGGGGAACATAGTACAGCCAGAAAATCTTTTTCATTTTATATTCAATTTCAGCAAACATATATCATAACCCCTTCGAAAAGCTCTGAAAAACTCGGGAAACCCCTAAAAGTTGTTACAGAATTTTTGTACGTGAAACCCTTGAAAAATAGTGGGACCTATTAGAAGTCTCCCCTAAAAATTTTGAACGCATGGACAGTTTAGAAGCTCCTGGTGCTTCTGTTACGTGGGGGTGTTTATCAAACGATAATCGCAAATAATTTTTGATTCTCAACCTATAGCCGTTTCCAAAATTCGAGAAAACAAGGAATAAAATACACCCTTCAGATATTACAAAGAAATTTTTTCAGTTCACAAGTCAGAAATGTTCAGATGGTTTTACGTCAAACTAAACACTCAAGCTTATGTAGGAAGTGGATTTTTTATTTTTTACCTTATTGTATTTTTTTATCGCATTTAAAGGTTAAAAACTGGGAAAATCTCAAAAGACTTTCAGAAAATCTGTATTTTTGAAAAACTTAAAGCTTAATTTAGAAATCTACTTCTAATATTCAAAGCAGTTTGCATTTCCCGTTAGAAAGAAAAAAAATTATCATTCTACTCAACATAGGAAAGAATTCTTTGAAATACTTAATACCGCTAATTAAGAAAGATATACCTATTGGAACTAATTTAAGCATTTTTAAGAGGTATAGTAAATCAGCTGTGACTTTACGAAAAACTATCGTACAACGTCCCATTTTGAAGAAGACACTTTTCCTACGTTGGGATGTAGTTTGTCAATAAACTCTACTCGACTTTGTAAGACTAATAGAGAGGAAAATCTTCGGAAAAACATCTAATATTTCAACTGAGAAGACACATACTCTGCATTCTCAGAGTAGACTTATGTACCAACTCAAATATATCTTTATCTCAACTATAAGACTTGAAGCTGATTTTACAGTATGTGCAAGAGGTGAGATACTCTTAATACTTTTGTCGCCCTTTCAATTCTGCATTTTTCTAAATACAAACTGTTCCTAGTTTCTATTTGTGAAACAAACTGTGATTATTTTTATATATCACTACGGTAAAAATCGAGATATCTATCCGGTATTTAGCCAATAAATCTATGAGGGCAAACTTTTAAAACAAAATATTGTAGTTCATTTTGAAGTGCAGAAAATTCTCTACCTTTCTATATACAAAACATTTCGGATCTGAGTAGAACCGTCAAAGAAGTATCTCTTCGTTGAATTGGTGACGAAAAATGATAAGAAATAATTTTTTCACGAAGATCATGAGCAATTTTGAAAGTTAGAAGTGTTAGGAAGTGAAAAGGGAAGCATTTCTCGTCATTTTCACTCAAAATCATATTGGGCCATTTTCTAGCAGAAACCATTTCCCATCCTTTAGCAGCAGTATGTATATTTATATATTTTATGAAAAATTCTGATCATTTACGAGGTTTTTAAACCCTTTGCACTAATCATGAGTCATGATATATTTTAGTTTCCTTGCCATAAGCTTCAGTCTGAACGTCTGTTTCTTAAAACTAGTTATTTTATGTAGATTGCATAGATCATATTTGAATAGTCACCTCTTTTTCAAAATTCGTATATGACTAGTGCAAAAAAATAAAATGTTTGTCGTAGTAGCTTGCTTTTACAAGGCATCCGGGCGTATTTAATGCATCCTCAATGTCTTGTAGAACATCAAGATGGCTTACTATATGCATCAAAAATGCACTTGATTTACACAAGAAAAGATATCCAAAATGCCTGGACTAAACATCCACGATATCTCACAAAGATAATACGCATGCATGAAATTGGAATTCAGTCGCCTTCGTAGGGCGTCGTAGCGCGTCTTTTACATGGAAATTTCATCGTACTGATAAAAAATGAAGTCACCTTTAACGCGTCTGAAGTGCAGTTTTTTTCGAACATGCACCTCTTTTTTGACAGTATACAAAACTGCAGAGTTAGCTCTTAAGGGTTCCCCCACCCCTCTTTTCTGCAGAAAAATTGTCATTTTGAGCTGAACATAGTCTAATGTAGAGGAAAGTATGAGCTATACCATGAGACCACTCCCAGTTCTCCATGACCTTCATTGAAAAAATTATGATGTTTTTAAGTTTTACATTCAAAGCCTAGAAAATCTCAACTGTTTTGGCTCATAAATTTTTCTCTCGTTTCCTATATATTCAAAATTTTTTCTTATATATAGCATGATAGAAGAAAGTGTGCTCTTCAAGATGAGATGTTTTCGAGAATTTTTCGATGAGTTTTCTTAGAGATATAAGCATAGCCGCAAATGCCCGAAAAACAGAGCCTTGTGTACGGTATGTGTTTTTCTCACTATACGTTTTTTCAATAGTCCCTTCAATTGGCAAAATTCTGGGCAAAAATACATCGATTTTCTTTTTCGATGTTCTATCTCTGATATAAATTAGAACCCGACCTGACATCGGCTTCTCTAGTTGACAGGGTAAAAGAAGAGGGGGTACCCTTAAATATATTAGAACTTGCATCGAAAATAAAAGCAAGGAAATAAAAATCGCCTATCAACTCAGAAGTGAGCATAGACCAGGCATAATGCAGAATAATATCTAGCTAAGATGCGCTTTATTCTCATTCATAAAACTCTCCAAAGACACCTCTAATTCAGAAAATGAATATATTTTACTATAGAAAACTAAAAGATGTCATAACTCACAAATGATTAGTGTTGAGAGATCGTCAGCTTCAAACATAAACTATATTGGTCATAAATTTTAAATCACAAGTATTATATATTTCTTCTTTAGGTAAAATAATTGGAAAATTCTTAGGTGATAACTATACGAATAGTTATTTTGCGAATGTGACGCACAATCAAACGAACAATACTTTAGAGAAAATCGTATATTCAAATCAACAATTATCTGATCATAAATATGGAGCAACATTAACTGTTTTAGGCGTATTATTACTCGATTTAGATTGTGATGCATGTCAGAGTCCAAGTAGAGCGTATCTTTTAGATGTTACCGATCCAGATCAACATTCAGCCGGTTTAACAATGTTCACTGTGATGGTAAGTAAAATTTTAATTAATTTTAAATTCGAATCAACGCTTCTTCATTAGGCTGGAATAGGAGGAAGTTTGGGTTACTTTATGGGTGGAATTCCCTGGGAAAAAACATTTTTGACTTCATTTCTTGGCGATCATGTTCATATCTTGTTTACAACCGTTTGGATTATCTACATCGTATGTATGTTTGTGACACTCACGGCTAGTCCTGAACCCGATGATATTGTACCATGTTTACCACTTTCAAATTCACGTCAATTTCTCGTATCCTACACGAGTTCAACGTGCCTTAGTAATGATGATCTTATGTCGTCAGAGACGTATGACAATTATTATCGACGATTAAAAAGACAGAATTCATTCAAAACAAATGATGATGTGATATCCACAATTTCTACTGGGAGAATAAAAGTTTCATATACGGATTATTTGTGTTCAATCATTTATATGCCATCATCTTTGCGATGGTTGTGTTTAACAAATTTCTTTTGTTGGATGGTACGTTCAAATAAAAATATTATCCTTTGTTTAATAGTTATATTCTTATTTAGGCATTAGTATCATATTCACTTTATTTCACAGATTTTGTTGGACAAGCAGTTTTTGGTAAGATTGTTTAAGAGAATAATATTAATTTTAAAAACTCGACTTGGTTAAACGAACAACTTGAATTTACAATCGCGTTTTTCGTTACTAACGAGTGGGCCAGATTAAACCGGCCACTTTTGTTTTCTGTTTTTGAAGCACGAAAAATTGTTTTAAAACCCGATTTTGATCTCATTCGATAGAGAATTAATTGCTCTACAAAACTACTGATTTTTTCTTACAAATAAATTTTTCTTGTCAGCGCAAAATTCAAAAGATTAACACCTACTCAATCTTCCAACTGCGATCTCCTGTTTTCTGCAGAGATTTATCGACTTGTATAAGCCTATGCTCATCAAATCCGATGATAAAAGTAAAGTATTTAACATCAATAGATAGAGAATTTTGCGCTCTATGCTTCCACGATCTTTTCAGAGCTCCTGATACTATCATTCAGGAGTAAAAGGCTTGAAACTAACACCTAGTGGTATTTTTGGATGCATTTTGAAAAATCATGCTTTCCAAAGCCAGACTTAGTCTATGAAACGTTTATTCTCAAACTATCGCATGTAGAATTTCATTCTGAACAAAATGGTATGACAGTTAAATTGAACAGTGAAAACTTTTAGATTATTTCGAATTAAAAACAATAGCGGAAAGGGATTTTTTCGGTGTTTGCATATTTTTTACTTCCAACATTTTTCTCACAAATATTTCTTCCAAAATTCTGAAACATACATCAAAAGATGTAGAATTTTACGCAAAACTTTGCGGCGTATTTGAAATTAATTAATTAATAAATTATTAATTTATTGAGCGCGAACCGTTATTAAAAGTTTTTCATCATTTTTTCGTTTTTTGACCATCGCAGTTAGACAACTAAGTGAGTGTTAATCTTATAAATTTTGAGCCGTCAAGGAAATTTTATTTGAAAAACGAAGTCGATGATTTTGTAGAGCAATTAATTCTCTACCGAATGAGGTCAAAACTGGGTTTTAAAACGGTTTTTCGTGCTTCAGAAACAGAAAACAAAAGGGTTTAATTTGGCCCACCCGTTAGAGACTCAGACAGAATTTATTTCTGATAAAATCAAAAGAAGATATCCATGAAATTTCTATTAGAAATAAATCTGTAAAAGAATAATATTTTATATGTGTATGACTGCGATTCCATTTAGGAGGAAACCCTAAGGCCGTTCAATATGATCCTTCTAGAATTTTATATCATGAAGGCGTACGATGGGGAAGTTGGTCAATGTCTGTTTACTCAATATCTTGCTCGCTGTATTCATTTAACATTCAAAGATTAAACAATTATTTTGGCAAGCTTTCATGTTGTAATTTGTTTTTGTTTTATGTCGTATGTTTAAAGTAGTAATCCTACGAATTAACCCTTTGGAATCCCAAATTATTTTTGCTGGATTGAATTGAAGTAGACTTTTATATTAACTTATTTTAGGCACATACTTATCTCTCATATCTCTCCACATAAGTGCATCTGCTATTAATTGACTGATTCTCCAGTGCTTCATTGCAGGAGATTACGTACTAATTTTTATAAATTATGTTGTGAACAATAATTATAAAACATGTATAGCATTTTTGCTGCTATGGGATTCAAAGGTTAATGTTAATTAATATACATTTTTTCTGCTGAACTTGGAACTATGTGTAAAAGAGAATAAAAATATACAAAAGTACAAAATTTAAACTTTTTCCATAGATAAAAACAAGAATTTCATTTGATATAACAGAAAGTTTTGAATTTCAGGTATAAAACGTGTTTACATTGCATCTCAATTGATTTATTCAGTTGGTATGCTGTTAATGGGAATACTACGTCATCGAATTGCTGTTATTCTTTTGTCTGGTGTGGCAGGTGTACTCTATTCAACACTGTTCACAATTCCTTATTTATTAATATCAAAATATCATAATTCTGATGTGGTTTGTATAACACATTATATCATGTTTTGAACACAAAAGAAAAAGTTTTCGTATCATTCATCATTAATTAAATTGTAGTTCTGTATTTACTGCCTGAAACATAGAGATTCTCGATCTATCCCAATACAGTCTCGCTGATATTATCATAACAATTTGACTATTTCTGTTTCTATTTAGTTTGAAAAATTGAACAAACATTCCAACACACAGGTGCGAGGAATTGGAACGGACGTTGCCATTGTCAGTTCAATGGTCTTCTTAGCTCAATTATTTTTATCATCGACAATGGGAACGTTGATACACTTAGCTGGATCAACTGTAATTGTTACCGTTGTTGCTGCTCTTCTAAGCACTTGCGGTGCCTTATCAGCGACTAGAGTATTATACTTGTAACTTACGTGCGGCACATGTCAAGAAAAATTTTTATCTTAAAAATAATTAATAACATTACGCTTTGTTACTGTATGTTGTTGTCAATCTGACAATTCCAAAATACTGATAGCGCGAACCTCAAGCGATGCCTTTCATAACAAACGTAGACATAGAAGAAAAACCGTCTGACTGTATTCCAGACTTCATATTTGTCCTGTTTTTCCTGTATTTCCTGTTTTTGCATGAGAACATCCTGTTTTATCCTGGTTTTTGGAATTTTCCTGTTTTTCTATATTTTGACTTCGTTCTGCAGTCTTACTGTTGACTGTGGTAAAATCTGTTAGAAAGTCTTTGCTTCTTACGTGAATCCAATCACCCACTTAGACAAATATTTTTATTTTATTCAATCAAACAAGAGAAGAGCAGACTAACAGAAATGACGTTTACACCAAGAATTAGAATGTCCCCATAAAAACTGACTGTATAAATTCTACACACTCATGTCGAAATGCTAAACGAAAGAAGTCAAAAAAATGAAAGACAAAGAAGAAACGAAGAGTAAAGAAAAAGTAAAATGAAGTATGGTGTTAGACATGGGCGGGTGGGGACCAAAAAACTGATCCCGTAAAAGTAAAACTTTCGTTGTAGAGTCAAACTCTACTGTGAGTTTCAAACTCGTTTTTTATCAAACTTTTTCTTGCAAGGCCGTACAAAGCTCTACAACGAAGTACAATAGCAAAATGCCGCATTGAACATTCCCCAGCAATGGAACATTTTTTCGTGTTCTATGACCAAATTTTTCATCGAAGCCAAACAATTAACTACAGGACCGGGACTAAAGACTAGTCCATCCACCTCTAGTTGTTGTACATATAAAAAAAGAGGACAATGAACGAAAACAACAATAATAATACTGGACGCATAATTTAAAAAGAGACATAAGCTTGATATATACGATGACCTATGACTATGTTTTTAATGCTGTATAACACTTTTTAAATATTATTTAAATCTTTATTTATGATTTAACCTTAAAGATCAAGTGAATTTTTAGTTTATGTCTAGTCATGCATTATTTAACACATTGTGATAAATCTTACTTGTCGTTTTTCTACATTCACTTATTTCCTGTATTTCTGAGGACTTTTCTGTTTTTCAAAGGAAAAAAATTCTTTCCTGTTTCTGTTTTTTGAAAGTGGATAGTACGAACTCTGGTATGCTCATGAAAGAAATCTTTTAACAGAAAGAACGAACCTTCGCTAGTTCTAGAAAATAAACCACTGCACTCGGAAAATAAGTTATCTAGTTCAACAATTAGCCCAGTAAACACCATTACTTTAGTCTAATCTTTATCATGGCTTTTAATCGAAAATCTGTAATAATGTCAGTTGTAGATGCTTTTATTTGAATAACTTGACTGGAATGTGTTTTTGTTCCATATTCATACAAATGGTGTGTGCTTTTTCAGCATTCTGCATTTTTTCCGATCTTTTCCCGTGTGTAACATATAGACAACAAATGGAAAAATGACTATGAACATAAAGAATAAAACAAAACAAAAAACATATGTTGTCTTTCCAGACAAAAGCATTACAAGAGGACATTTAGTTGCGGCGAAACTAAAAGTCAGCGACAACATTGGCTAACGTATACATATAACAAATAAAGAATACGAATATATACGCTAACGCAGATATAAATATACATTATTTATTGAATAACATCAATTTGTTAGAAAGATTTTCTTCATTTCAAAGAAAAACAAAAAAAATTATAAAAAAAAAAACAGACGCTATTCGTATTCCCGCTCGAAGAATATAAAAGATAGGGAAAAAAGTCAATTATTTTGTTCATTCACTCAGATTCCTCTGATAAACAAAACGTTCATGTACACCACCACTGGAATTCCTCTTACTACTATGTGATTCATTATCTTTTTCTAATTTTTTATTTCGCATAGATTTTAGTGCTTTCTCACGTAATAATCTAAAATTAACACAAAACATCTTAAAAATAATGTATTTTTTATTAATGAGACAATGTACCTACCGTTCTCTCAAATCTATTTCAGTTTCATCATCACTATGATCACTGTACAATTTCAATGTATTACTGCCATTTAATGATAGTTTATCTTGAACAACATCATCATTTTTTGTATGTAACGAATTTTCATTCATCGATTCTGATGATGAATTACGTTTTGTTTGATTTTTATCATTCTCATTCAGAGTGTTTTCAAGTACAACCTATAAAACAAAAAAGAAATATTTTACATGTTGGAAAAAACGTACAATATCATATTTGTACCTACAATACGTTCTGTACGAATAGGTTTCATTGGTGATTCTGATTCACCCTCAACAACAGGATTTGTCAATTCTTCGTAGGATTCTTCTTCCTGAAATACAACAAAAGAATATATATTTATAAGATAATAACAAAATTATAATAATGATTATTTACTTCTTCATTTGAAGAGAGTGGTGGTTGCATTATGGTTTTTTCAATATATTCTTCTTTGTTTACATCTTGTGTTTGTTTCTCTTCCTGAGAAACATTTGATTTCTTTTTATGTTGTCGTTTGTGTTGTTCATCGTTTTCATCATTTGTATTTTTATGTTTCTTACGACTTTTTTTTGTCTTTTTCTTGTCTTTTTTCTTACGTGATTCATCTTGATCAATTGATTTATCTTGAACAGGATGTTGATGATGGCGATGATTGTCGTTTCTTCGATGTCGTTGCAATTGTTGATGATCTAAACGGATGGGTTTATTTTTGACGCTAGCCCAAAATTAGTCAACCTTAAAACAAACAAGTCAGTTATTAATTTTTAACGCTTGATCCCTCAAAACAAAAGTTCCAATAAAATATATTTTTTTCAAACGTAAAACTACTGACCGTTCATATCACTTTCGAATAATTTACCATTTCCTTTGTTTGTTTACAATTAAAAACATTTTGGTATTTTTTTCTGGACAATAGTCAAGAAAAATAGTCGAAGCTCTTTTATGCCTTACAAATCATGCTGAAAAATGAGATTCTCGCAAGGATTCATCGTTCTAACGCGTAACACAGTGTAAACTATTTTGTTTAGTTTTTAAAGAGCAGCACAATTAGAATGACGAATTATCTTACCTGTTTCTTTTAGTTTGTTTTCTTTGTTCGAAGTCTCTGGTCGATGATGTTGACTTACTGATTTTACGACCGGTTTCTTCGATGATGTTTTAACTTTGTTAGATGAAATAACACTAAATAAGAAGACATAAAATAGGTCAATTTATCAAATCAACTATAGTCGGTGTAACACACAGTAATTGAATATTTACTAAATTTCAGTAGATTTTTAACTAAGATCGAGAACTGTCTTTTAACGATGATGATCTAATCGATGTACGGTCTAGTATAAGTTGTGTTCTAACAATAACAAATTCTACAACACAATTATAAAGCGATTTAAAAACTGTTGACTGTACATAAGTTTTGCACACACTTCTAACAGGAACACTATCTGTTATCATGTCTGTGACACAGACTCTGTGTCTCCATTCTTACAATCATGTTGTATGCTTCGGAAACCATCTGCCTATCATCCTCTTTCTCTACGCCATTTTAATTGATCAGAATGCGTCAAGAAAGTTTTGCACATTCCGTTAAACTCAAACAGTCGGCAGTACACTTTAAACTATATTCCGTTATGAAATGAAAGCTGATTCAAATCAGGATTACAAATTCAAAACGCCATATTGACAGAAGCAGTATAATATGTGAAGAAAAGATGGGCTTGTTCAAAAAGTTCTCATTCGGCCTTACAGTTGTAGCATTCAGAATTGAAAACATCGTAATGATTTGTTTTTGTAAACCATAAAATATTATTTTTTTTGATCTAATTCACTATTTTCATGTCTACCAGTTGTTTTGAATCACTCTCGACTTAAGTTATTCGCAAACGATAAAACAAGTTACCCGGTTCCACTACTTACCTTTCAGTGAGAAAAACAAAAGTACAAAATGGCACTATATCTTTAAAACATCGAGAAAACTATAATAAGATTCTAAGAGCTTCTTAAATCTTCAAGATGTGTCAGTTAACTTTTTCTCATCCCATTTGCTACTCTATCTCTTAGAAGTACTCTTTGGTGAATGTTTAATGAGTATAAATCGAAATAATAAGCAATAAGCGTTGACAACTGTAATATCTGCTGCTCTTACTATTAAAGAACTAGTAAGTAAAAATATTACTAAACGAGAACAGTTCTTTACTACATTTTGATTAAACAATGCATCGATTTCACTCATCACTATCTACTATCAAATAAATAAAATAGACTTTTCTATGTGTTTAGATCATTCACTTAGAGCGTTCTTGCTAAAATTCCCATCTTCGCGCAACTACATGATTATGTATGTTTGTTTATTTTCGAATAACATATGACGAAGAAATTAACAAGAACAACAAGCACAAAAAAATTGTATATAGGTTTATATACAGTATTTATTTAAAACTCTTGAAATATCTCTTGGCTATATTCTTTTTTTGTAAAAAAAACAAATTTCCATTTTGTCCACCAGTAAAGGAAAGTATAGTAGTGAAAGCAGTAACAACTACCTTTTTTTCTTGGTCCTTTGTCGCCGAATGTTCCTTACCTATTTAAATGATTGTCTTTTTTTTCTGTACTTTTCGTTGTATTCTTCTTTTCTTTTGAGCGTGAACGTGAACGAGACGATCTGGTCGATGCTGAAGATGATCGATTGGACGTGACACCTAAACAAAAACATGCTAGTAAACTGTAAATATGCTCATACAATGTGATTATTTACGTTTTCGTTTCTGAGATTTAGACGCTTTTTCGCCGCTATAATGACGATGTTTAGATTTGGATTTTGGAGATACGGAAGAAGATGAATCGGACGATGTTGAACGAGACGATGAACCACTATTAGAGTTATTGCTTGAGCTATATGACGATTGTGCAGACGATGAACGTCCCCGACGTTTTTTTGTTTTTTTCTTTTTCGATTGTTTTCGGGGTTTTTTACTATGATGCTGGTCTTTATGTTTCTTTGGCAATGATAGTTGTTCTTTGGACGATCTAACGGTGTTCTTCTCCGACACTGATCTTTTCTTCTTATTCAAATTTTCGATATCATCTTTTTTTTTCGATTGTTTTTCCGGTTGTTCTTTATTTTTTATATCAATTTTTTGCTGTTTTCGTTCAGTATCAGACGGAACCGTATCTTTCTCTTTTCGTTTAGATGAAGAATTATCTTTTGATTGAGAGGATGTAGGTTTTGATTCTTGTTCTTTCTTACGTGATGATTCTTTAGTTGATATGGAACGTGGTGGAGAATGAGATATATCACGTCGTTGTTGATTTCGTTGTAAACGTTGATTAGTATTAGACTGATACCGTTGCTGTTGTTGTTCCTGACGGCGTTCTTGTTCAAGAATTCGTTTCAATGGTGGTACATTTGACTCACCGTCCTCACTACTTGAACGATCACTACTGTCGTGTACCTTTTTTCTCGATAAACGTTTTTCAGTGTCATCGCGCTGTCTACTCATGTGAGATTTTTCTTCGGTATTAGTTGATTTTTTAATTGGTCCATTTGATACATCCTGAATTAAATAAAGGAAAAGATTAATGAGAAAAATTAATGATTGATACTGTTATATGCAGGACACATTGTCAATGGCCCTTTTCCCCAATAGCCTACAGTTATAAACTGTTAGTTTATTGAACGATTGTATCTGATGTGATCCTGCCATTATAATGCATCGCTACTATTTACTACTGTTCGCTCAAATTTTAGCGAAAACTGACTTCACTTGAAGTACAGAATATATGGATAGATTTGTTTACAATTCGTCATATTATATTGAAATAACAATCCTTAACTGGTGTATAGTTGATTAAGACATATTCACTCAGAGACCATTAGAGAAGTAAAACGGTATTTAATAATACATACCTTATCCAATGACGCACTCTTTTGTCTTGATGACTTTCCTTTACTATCAATTTGATTTTGTATTTCTGTCTGTTTCGAATTGTTTGTCTTTTTTGTAGAACGATCTTTGGATGGGCTACGGCTTCGACTCGTTGATGGTGATGCTTCACTCTTCTTTGTCTTTAATTTTGTTTCTTTATCTAAGTTATACTTTTTTTGCCGATTTTTATCATCGATAGAAGATGCCGTACTCGAACTTGATGGCGCTCGTTGTTTAGCCTTGTTTATGGCTGATGATGGACTTGATTGATGGTAAGATTCTTGTTCTTTTTCTTTTGTTTTTGATTGTATTTTCGTTTCATTATCTTCATTATGAGACTCAGATGATGGTAAACGATTTTTCGAATTTTTATCATAGTTATCATCATCAATTTTCTTTTGTTTATTTCTACTTACATCTGACCTAGGTGATGTCACCTCCTTTGATTTGATTTTGTTGTCACTTGATTTCTTCTTCCGTGTATCTGTTTCACTATCAGATGATTGACTATAAATAAATAAAGACAACAAATAAATTGCTTTACAAAAAACAAATATTCTGTTTAACTACCGATTGATCTGGGATACTATTCTCGCGTCTTTTCGTTTTCGCTTGGATGGCGGTGACATGCTCCCTTCTTGAAAACGACGTCGACTATCTTTTGGTTCTGGTGATGATCGACGATTGTTATTATTATTTCCACGCGTTTTATTATCGTAATCTCGTGGTCTATCACCCCAGTCTTCACGTCGCATTCGATCACGAGCCGGAGAATAACGTCTTTTTGTGTCCCAATTCGATGATCTATTATCATTTCTTGCCTTCCATGTAGAGGTTGGACCACCCATCTCATTTCGTTGTTTTGTCTTCAACCCTTTGTCTTTTGTTTCTTCTTTATCTGCCGTTCTGCCATTCATTTTCATATCAGATTTGTCTGGGTCTTGCTTCACATCACGATCACGGTTTGGGAGCGATTCTTCTTCTCGACGGCGTGCATCTCTTAACTTCTCTTCATCTTCCTAAAATGGCCAATAGTACTTTATATAAAGTTGACTAGAGAAAAGATATTTTGTATCTGAACTAGCGTTTATCAAAAAGATATCGGACAACAGAACTCACGTTTCGCAGATACTGACAGATGAGGAAAAAATCATCTCAAAGATGAAGATAATGATTATCAACTTACTCTCCGTTTTTGTAATTCTAATTTTTTTAACTCAACAAGTTCAGCTGGAATTCCATCTGGCGAAATCTGTGCACTGGCTAAAGTTTGCCACAATTCTCCAATAAACATACGAGCTTTACTTCCACCAAGGAAACCGGTTAAATTTATCTGCATCATTTTTGGATCAGGATTCTGAAACAATAAAATAATTTAAGGTAAAGAAAATCAGAAAGTTACAGCATATTATTCACTTTTTCTTCAAGTTGATTGAAAACAAACTCTATCACAACATCATCTTCAATACCCAATAATTCTTGTAATCTTTTTGTAATCCATGGTTTAATTACATCCAAGTTAACTTTAACCATATCAACCTAAATAAATTTGAATTCAAAACACAAATTCAAGAGAAAATTTTGAGGATCTTAATCTTACTTTAATATCACAATTATCAGGAAATCTCATTTGTTTTAGAAGTTTTTTCTGTTTATTTGTAAAACGACTATCTTGATCTGCAGATGTACCCTAAAAAGAATATAGTTATTAAAATTACACAAAAGATTCGATAACAGAGAATTTTTCATACTTTAAAAAAACCAGCGTCAGTCATTTTGCCGTTGATAAATAATTATAATACAGATCTAAAAAAAATACATGATGAATGAAAGACGTGGACCAAGAGAGATTTATAAGTGAATTTTGGTAATTAGAACAAAGAAAATCTTAAAGTGAGATTTGTACTTAATAAGAAATTCAATTACGGTAGAGAAAACCGTTCCATATACATTCAATTGTAGTATTAAAAATTTGGAAAGATTTATCAGAAAATAAAATAATAAAATAAGAGAGACTAATAAGCGAAAAAAGGCAATTGCCAATTTTACGTCTGCAAACTAAACAAATTTTATGATACTAGAATTTAATCTATTTGGCAGTAATCAGTGGCGTCATTTACACAATCGATGTATTAGCCTTACCAATGAGAGTAGATAATTTAGCTATCATATCCATACACAATTTTTAGATTAATATTAGAAAGAAAACTCTAACCAATTTCGGATCCATTAGGTTCACAACTACCGTTCTAAAGTGTATTGTTCGTTGATGCAACAATTTAAAAAATGGATGTTTTAATCTGATGAGTATAATAAAAGTTTATACCTTAAACAAAAACTTCACTTGGAGCCCAAGCCTTAAAGCCCAACTTCACTTGGATCTGAGATTTATTATACTTATATGTGTAGTCATACTCTTGCTAGATAAGTACACAAATGAGAGTAAATTTCGTCAAATTTAATTTGAAAAATAGTTTAGATTGCAAGGATAAACGACTAAAGGAAGAAAGACATTTTTATAATATCTTTTAAGCTTCATCTTTTTTATTAGAATTACAATGCTAATAGGAAAACACCGAACGGTTTGCTGCTAGCTATAGATGTATATGAAAAAATACGATCATTTCATTTTGCTTCGCGTTCTAGTGTCATTTTCTTTTCCTAAAAAAAAACGTTTTTGAATGCAAAAACAACAAATATGTGCGGAAAACAATCACAGTATAGTACGTAATTAGACTTTGTTTATGACTACAAGAAAACATGTAGTCGCAAGAAAATAACAGAAAGTAAAAAAAACGAAACAAAATAACAATAGAAAACCAACAAATATTTTTCTTATTCTCTTATCAATCAAAAGACACACGTAATTTTGTTATCGGAGATATATAGATAGGGAAAAACTTTCAACGATGTGATTTTATTACCTTTTCCAGAAGTGCAACACAAAAACAAACAACTAGAAAATACGTATAAACTTGTTTTCTTTGTCTGACGAAAAAGATGTAGAAGGTGTATAGGATAGAAGAATCTCTCTCTTGCTAAGAGTTTTTCATCCAACTAATAATCCAATTCCAAATCGATATGCTGCTTTAGCGTGATTAAGTGAACTGCTTAAAATAAATGTAAATGGTAACGGAAGTAAACGTTTTTCAATCACTGCTGATACAATGCCGTTTGTGTCTATCAATCCTAAATAGAATGAAAAAAAAGCAATTATGATCGACTATTACTATATAAAGGAATATTAGAACTTTCAACTGGAAAGTACCATAAAACTTCAATGTACATGTAACGAAAAGAAATATAAAGTAAAAAAATACACTTGCTTAATTGTCACTTGCAAATGAGTGATCAATAAGTAAGACAGTAACATGAACAATAGAATTCATTTGAAATTGGCATATATAAACTATTTACAAGTTTTACCTTTAAACGTTGCATTTGCTTTTGCTATATCATACTGATAAGAGAATGTTGCTGAACTTTCTTTAATAGATGTTTCAAATTCTACCCCAAGTTGTAATGGACTACTCGATTTTTGATGAAAATAGCCAAGATTAATAACACCGGCTGGAGAAAACTTAGCCGCGCCAAACCAATTGAGTCCTACATGATAAAATAGAGCATATGACAACACGTTTACTTAAAAAACAGCTGAATACCTCACCTCGATAACGACCCGCAAAGCTCGTCATTCCAATATGCCTGCCAGGTATCGCTGGATTTGCTTGATAAAGATACTCAGCACCCACGTCGATGTTGTTCGTAATACGTGTTAAATGCTGTAAAACAATAATTCCTATAATAAAATAAGTGTACCTATTATTAATGATTATCTCCTTTAATCGACACATACCAGAATTACTAATTAAATCAAGATTTGCTCCTGTTATACTAGTTGTGGTGTATTTTGTTCGATAATCTAATGCTATTTGATATCCTGCCATTTTGTACGTTTGCACCTATCCAAAGTAAAAACCTAATAAAAGTGATATACCAGAAAATATTTTACTCACTTGAGCAAGAAACCGAGTTCGTATTTTATCGGTCCATTGGTGAATAATTTGAGCATTTGCACTACCGTTTGGATCCATATCACCCAAAATTACCGGAAATACCTAATGAAACAGTAAGATAATCGTTAGTACAGTTGAGAACAAACAATGAATATCATGAACTGCTAACCTCTGATTGAGAATAAAGTTGAGTACCAACATAGTTTGCTCCAAATTTGTAGCCACAACTAGCTCCTCCAGTTAACGCCAGCGAATGACTAACTTGAAAATGCGAACTTAACATTTTTGTAGCGGACAACTTCGCTCCTTCAAATGCTGGCGGCGTAAGTTCTTTAAAATATTAAAAAAGATGACATGTTTGATTTTCTTTTTTCTACAGATTATTAATTTACCTTTGATTTTCTTGAATATATCATCAAATACACCAGGATTTTTTGAAAAATCCATCGTCGAATTTATCCATCGTGTGTTTGGAAATGCTGGTGTTTGCGGTGTTTCAGTTTCTGGTGCATTTGAGCTAGATGACTGAGAGGGTTTTGACGGATCAAATGTTGTAGCTGTGTAAGAACTGTTGGTGGCTCCATCGCCAACATTACTCATGACTTCAGTGAGAAGAATGTGGAAATGGTTTTGTGATATTTAATCTAAACACAGTACAGTGTTAAATAAGAATGTGTCAGGCCTTGACATCTTGCTGAAAAGATTGCATATTTTTCATATTCAAAAATTCCAAGCTTGGAGGCACTAAAAAAAAAAATCAGCACTATTCAAAACTGGTACTAAAACTGACTAAATTGGGTAAAAAAGCACCAGACTTGGTAGAAAATACAGAAAACAGGCAATTTTTACCATGTTTGACCAAGTCTTTTTACTCAATTTAGTCAGTTTTAGTACCAGTTTCAAATAGTACAGGGAAAACTGGTTAAATCTGACAGAAAGGCTCTGTAGGCTTTGAGTATTTGAATATGAAAAATATACGATCTTTTCAGCAAGATGTAAAGACTTGGTACTTAAAATACATATAAGATCCAAACACTATTGCCACAAAAAGGATTGATTTTACCTATTTTATTCTGTAGCACGACTTCAACAATAGTCTCTCAACCGCCTTCTACTGCGAAAAGCAATCTGAGAAGTCTATCTATTTGACTGTACAAGATTTTTCTGAAAATGCTAATTTTTTGAACAGTGTTCTCTCCAAAAATAATTCAATACGAGTTGTTTTTACTCTTTTAACTTAATACTAAAACATAATCAGTCAGCTACCCAACCAATTGCACTTCTGTAAAAAGAACAATCTCACTACAATCATTGATGTTGTTGATATCAATACTGCAGCTGCAATATAACCATAAAGAAGTTTGAATCGCAGCTTAATCCGTTCTAGTATGATGAACGGAATGATTTCTCGATATGAGTGTTATGTAACATGTAAGCACAACACGAAGTACGGTAGCGCCCTCTCAAAGCAAAACACTCACCCAGTTACTATCGATTCCTTGTGCATAAACTAGTTGAAGATATAATTTAAAATAATCATAGCATCCGCTAGATACATGTAAAACTTCTACTCTACTTTATTGTATCCAACCATTCCATGTTCCAATTGCTCTTCTTAGACTCCAACGAGCATTACTTGTATGCAATAAGCAAATAAATTAATAAATTTATGTTGTTTCATTTTGGCTCCAAATAGTAGCTCCAAGGAGAGACTATCTACGTCAGGTCGCATTGATCCTGGTTCCTCGGAGCTGCTATTTGAAGCTATTTCTTTCTGACTCATTATTACTCAAGATCTGTGTGAAAAATGTTGTATTTTTAGTAGAGCGCTAAAATGCCTGCTCTGCCTTAGTTAGAAGATGTGAAGTGCCGTTGTTTTCCCGTTACTTTTTAGAGGCGTTATTCGAAGCAAAACAAAGATTTTAAAAGGGAAATCAGCCTTTCAGTTGTTTTAGCTTTACTTAATGAAGTCGATTTTTCAACTGGTACAAGAAAACGTGAATGCTTTTTATGATATATTTCTTTTCTTCCAGATTTATTGTGTATTCGAGGAAAAATGTCTGCTCAAAAATTTCTTAATAAAGCTACAATAGAATTTGGTAAACGTATATTTGGTCCAAAACTTCGTAAAGAACCTACGACATTAAAAGAATCGTATGCGAAATTTAAATATTATCAAACTAGTCATCACAAATATGGTTTATTGGAACATGATCGTATGTGGGATGGAGATAAAAAAGTCAGTGAAGCTGTTCGACGCTTACGCATAAGTGAACCAGAAGTTTATGATGAGCGTGGTTTCCGTATATCAAGATCTATTAATTTTGATTTAAAAAAAATGTACTTGCCACAAGATGAATGGACGACGTATGAAAATGATGTACCTTATTTACAACCATTTCTTGATGAAATCGAACGTGAACAAGCAGAAACAAAACATTGGAAAAAAGTTCTTGGTTAACTATTTATACAACTAAACTGATTTTCGCACGTTTTATTTTTTTTCGAACAATAATTTATCCAATTAACTCTAGAACTGCGAATTCCATCCTTGTCCTTGTTTTTTTTTCATGTAATTTTAGTATTAAAAAAAGAAATAGCGTATCTCCATCTTTTGTAGACAACTTTTATAAATTTAATTTATAGTCATATTCCTTCCAAGCAGTTGAAATGAAAGGTTAGAAAATAAGAGTTCATTTGATATTTCACAATCTCATATTAGAAATTCTGTTTTTTTAACATTGACGACTAGTTTGCACTCATTTTTACAAAAAATTCTTGTTTTTATGTAACTTTCAGATCCAGAAAGAGATGGCAAATTTGAATGATAAAGATGGAGAGGATGGTGAACAAACAACAAACGAAGTAGAACCTGATGAAAATGAATGGAGAAGATTTATTGATAGGTAAGAGCGTTGGAAAATTATCTTTACCCTATATAACGATCTTGAAAAATTAAAGCTTACTTTTGACTTGAGGTTTAATAATACACGTATCTTTGTTTGATTCTATGTTTTTGTCTTTTATCTCACTCTCACACTTATTCTGTAATAAAAAAAAATAAATACAATTTTGAAAATTATTCAAAACTTTTAATGTACATGTTAGTTAAAGCTATTTCTTGTGAAATGTTTTTAATTTCTGAAGAGATTTTTATCATTTTGTTTCTTCACTTTTTCTAGTATGAAATATCCTAAAGCATTAGAATATGTTTTACAAAATGCACCTATTAGATCAAAAGATCCTGAGAAAAAGGTAACAAACAATCAGTAGTTTATCTATTGAATGTATCGTATTAAACGTACTTGATTTGTATATTTCAAGAAAAAAGCTGCTCGTATGGCATTATCAACAATGATGAAAATAAAACAACAGGAAATTCCTGATGCTATTAATTCAATTCCACCATCTTTACGTGATACATTGATGAAATATATTTATAGAGGATTTGAAAGTCCAAAAGATTACACAAGTAGTTTGTTATTGGTGTGGCATGAAAAAGTAGGATTGTCTTATGCATGTCATTGATACTAGGTTGTTTCTTTTTCTCTTTAGGTTTTGGCTGCAACTGGTCTAGGTACCATTGTACGTGTATTAACAGATAGAAAAACTGTGTAAAGACATTGATGGATTTCATTAAGCATTCCATACAGTGAAAATTTTATTTTGATAATGATCTATTTGTGCAATAGACGGCTGAGTTTGTACACATAATTTATGTAGTTGGCACTTTTTCCATGGCAATGTACATTAGCTATTAGTGTTTGCGTTATTTAAGATCGATATAACGATAAAAATTGGCTCAGTAAGGTTACAACTCTTCTGTTTACTCTATTCAATGTTTCTAATCAATCTACCTACACAAAGATTTCGAATTGCCACCTCAAATTCATCTTTTTTTTAATCCTCTATTGAGTTTTTCTATAACCTAAAAATTTTGAATAAAATCGTCCCACTCACCTTTTATTTTGGTTTTTCCATGTTAAAAATTTGAGTACTTGTTTTGTTCATGATGATATCTGTCACTTCTCCGCTGTTTAGTCCATAAATTAGGTTAGTTATGGACTAATGGTAATTAGTTATCCGTCTGTTTTAATGATATACATTCATTCTTGTACTACATATGATAACAGATTGACCGATGTTTAATCTATTTCTTTTTTCTCTCTCTTGAACCTTTTTTCATTTATTAAAGATAGCTAATTTGTCTTTTTTGTTTTATTTCTATTTACGACTCGTTTGATATAATATATGTGTGTCTGTAATTTTTTTCTTTGTATTGAAGATAGAATGATTGATTACTTACCTGTTTTTGCAACACTTTTATAGTTCATTTTACTTTTATACGATCAAAAAATGATATTGATTTTTTTTTCTTGTTTTATTCAATTCAGAAAATTTCGAAGACAGAAAAGACTTTGACCTGTTTATTGCCGTTCTCTCGTTTTGTATGCTATGTGTTTTATAGATGATATGGCATCAAAAGGTGGTGCTATGAAGGTCAAAAAAACAGGATTTTTATACAATAGCAGATGAGATTTTACAACATGTGCCAAAGATAAGAAATATTGAAATTGAGTTGATGAACGGTTTTATCTAGCATATTTTGGCTAGTTTAACCGTGAATGAAAGTGTAACATTAATCTTTCTATCTTTTTTGTAGATGGTTGAAGTACGAGAGCGTTCAGCGGAACGTGATACGACTAAAAAGCGTCACCGAAGTTCTAGTAAAGAACGGTATGTTTTTCACCCATTGATGGGTTTAAAACTGTTTTTTGAAAGTTAAAAGTTGAGAAAATTTCTAAAAAAGATGATATAGTTAAAACCCCTAGTTAGAACTAACAACCCGAATTGATCGATATAACTGCAGTTGAAAGAGTTATAACTTCAAGCGACAACTATTCCAATTCCAGTTATATCTGCAACAGCTTTAGTATGACTACTCAACCCGAAATAAAATTACGAAAGCGCACTTCAGTTTGTATTGTAATACAGTCATAACTCTATCAACTGGGAGTTGTAACTCTCTCAACCGCGGTTATATCAATCCACACTATCAAACGAAATTATAACAATCAACCATGATTGATGATTATAACTATTTTAAATTTTTGAGCAAGAGTTAAATTAGTTATAATTAATTTTAACTCCAACTAGTTATAACTCAAGTAGTTTTAAACCCATCAGTGTTTTCACCTGATATCTTATCGTCTAGCTTCTATATATCTGTCTTTTGCTTTTAGGGAACGTCATCGAAGTCATCGAACTGGGCGAGATACTACTGACAAAGCAAATTCATCATCTTTATCATATCGCAAACAATCATTATCATATAAAACACGGGAACGTTCACGATCAAGAAGTCGATCGAAGTCTAATGAAACAAGGTAACAAAATGTATTCAAAGTTGTGGTCGAATGTGTACGTTAGTTACTTGATTTTTGTAGTTCAAAACGTCGTAAAAATGATGAAATAACTCGCCCAGTAGTCAAACAAGAAAATTCTGATGATGAAGAACAACAAAAGCAAGAACAAGATATAAATGGTGTGATTACTAAACGAGTTCCATTATCTCTTGAAGAAATGCTTGAACGTCAGAAAAAAGAACAAGAAGCAATCGCCAAAGTAAATGATAACTTAAAAAAAATAAATTAGTTAGTTTTAATCAGTGTTCATTTCAGCCAAAGTTTTTAACAAAACAAGAACGTGAAGCTGAAGCACTGAAACGTCGACAAGAAGCAGTTGATAATATGCGAAAACGAAATGAAGAAATGAGAAAAAATCGTGAAATGCTTACTCGGCAAGCAAGCGATTCCGATCGATTTCGAGACCGTGAAGATAGAGATAGAGAACGTGATAGAGAACGAGATAGAGAAAGGCGGCGAGATAAGGAGGGTGGATCGGAAAAATCAGGTAAAGGAGAAGTTGACCAAGAGCGCGAAGAAGCAGCTGTCAAAGAACGATATCTTGGCATTGTAAAGGTAATAGAGTCTAACAAATACAGATTGAATTCTAACCGATTCATTAATTTATAGAAAAAGCGTAAAGTTCGACGATTGAATGATAGGAAATTTGTATTTGATTGGGATGTTGGTGAGGATACAGCCGTCGATTATAATCCCTTGTATAAAGACAAACATCAAATGCAATTTTTTGGACGTGGGTAAGTTTGAGAGAAGAAAGTACGTTTTTATTCGAACTAAAAAGTATCGTTACCTCCTAGGCATATTGCCGGTATTGATTTAAAACAACAAAAACGTGAACAAGCCAAGTTTTACAGTGAATTGCTTGAAAAAAGGTAGATAAAGTCTCCTCTAATCTCTATTGACTAATTCTGATATTTTTGTGTTTATTTTCAGACGAACACAAGCTGAGAAAGATCGAGAAACGTAAGATAAATTTCATCTAGTCACGAATCGAAAACTATTTTACTTTTTCTAGTCAACGTTTGAAAACAGCCGAGAAAAAGGAAGAAAAGGTTCGATGGGATGAACGTCATTGGACAGATAAAAGTTTAGCACAGATGGTGGATCGTGATTGGCGTATATTCAAGGAAGATTTCAATATAACGACGAAAGGAGGCAATATTCCACATCCATTACGTTCGTGGAAAGAAGCTATTTTACAAAAAGAAGTTCTGGATGTTATCGAAGCAGCTGGATACACGGTAATTCTTATCTTATTTTTTTGATGGAAATAAAAAACTAACAATCATTTTTTTCCATTATTTTTAAGGAACCAACTCCAATTCAAAGACAAGTAAGAAAAGCTGATTTTATTTGTTTTTGAATTGATTAAGATGTATCATATCGAAATTATAGGCAATCCCTATTGGTTTACAAAATCGAGATGTTATTGGTATTGCAGAAACCGGTTCCGGTAAAACGGCAGGTAATAGATCAGATTAATTCTGTATTTAAACATGATCTGGAGAAATGTATACTTATCTTTTAGCATTTCTTATTCCATTGCTAGTATGGATTCAATCATTGCCGAAAATCGAAAGGTTTGTTTGACATGATCACTTTAAACTTTAACAGATAATACCAATCGCACTATAAATCTTTTAATGATTGATAAGCTTTATTAAATCGCGTTACACTGTGACAGCAATAGTAAAATACAAGATACTGATTTGTTCGAACCTCTCGAAAAAAACAATTGAAAAGCTATCTAGCAAAGATCACCGTTTTTCCCTCCCTTTTCCACTAAACTATGACAACTTTTTCAGATAGTGACGTAATTTTTGTTTCTTCTAGAGCTGATGATGCAGATAATGGACCGTAAGATCAATTTTTATATTTGAATAATACCGAGTTGTATCTGCTCGTATATATTTTCAGTTATGCATTAATTTTGGCACCTACACGTGAGTTAGCTCAGCAAATTGAAGAAGAAGCTGTTAAATTTGGAAAGGTGAGTCTAATCGTTTTATTTTAGTTTAGTATTTAATTTAACTAATGGATATCTATTTCTAGCCATTAGGTATTCGTACTGTTTCCGTTGTTGGTGGCCTTTCACGTGAAGAACAAGGATTTAAACTTCGTATGGGATGTGAAATTGTTATAGGTATTATCTATTTTCTTTTATTAAAATTCGTTTATGACAAATCACTTATCTTTTTTTTATATTAAGGTACTCCGGGTCGTCTTATTGATGTTTTGGAAAATCGTTATTTAGTATTAATACAATGTACCTATGTTGTTATGGATGAAGCTGATCGTATGATTGACATGGGTTTTGAGACGGATGTCAAACGAATTTTAGAATATTTACCACTCACAAATTTGAAACCCGATAATGATGAAGCAGAAGATATAACAAAAACTATGAGTAACTTTACATCAAAAGATAAATATCGTCAAACTGTGATGTTTACAGCGACAATGTCATCTGCCGTCGAGAGATTAGCACGAACATATTTACGTCGACCAGCTGTTGTTTACATTGGAAGTATTGGTAAACCAACTGAACGAGTTGAACAAGTTGTTATTATGTGTTCAGAAAATGATAAACGCAATAAATTATTAGAAATATTAGAACGTGGTATTGAACCACCAATTATCATTTTTGTTAATCAGAAAAAAGCTGTTGATATATTGGCCAAAGGTCTTGTTAAAAAAGGCTATAATCCATGTACTTTGCATGTAAGTAGGAAAAAAAATGTGACAACATCAAGATACTAGTCTTATTTGACACTCTTTTTCTTTAGGGTGGTAAAGGACAAGAGTCTCGTGATTTGGCATTAGCACAATTGAAACAAGGCCAGAAAGATATACTAGTGGCAACAGATGTTGCTGGACGTGGTATCGATATTAAAGATGTTTCGCTTGTAATTAATTATGATATGGCTAAATCAGTTGAAGGTGAGTTGCTTATCTTATTATTTAGTATGCTGTCTGCCGCAAAGTTATTTCCTTCTACAACGTCGTTATTTTTCTTACATGTGTAAACTACGTTTCAGCATTGAATGATGATATAATTTTTGTTTCATTGTAGATTACACTCATAGAATTGGACGAACAGGTCGTGCTGGTAAATCTGGACGAGCTATTACATTTTTAACTAAAGAAGATTCAGCTGTATTTTATGATCTTAAACAAGTAATATTAGAAAGTCCGGTTTCACAATGTCCAAATGAATTATTAAATCATCCGGATGCACAACATAAACCTGGTAATTATTCATCTTTCTACTTTGTATTTTAATAATTTAAAACGGTTTTCTGTTTCTTTTTAGGTAGTGCACCACAGAAACGTCGACGGGATGAAACTGTATTTGTCAATTAAATTAAAACTTTTCCTTTGACTTAACTATATTAAATGTGTATTTTTTTGCCTTTGTTCACATTGTTAATTTATTTTGTTCGTAGTCAACTATTTGTACATTGTACTGAGAATCTATTTCGCGGTAGAATAAACACGATAAACAAGTGTGGTTTCTACGCACACTAATTCCGCATGACTATCTTCCTACAATTTTCTCTCTTAACTAAGTTGAGAATATATACATTAAAATTTTGATGGTACGATCTTCGGAGGTGTTTACTCTAAATCTAACTCTACTATAAAAAGACGATTGTCAAACAGGTTTATTCATTCCAAACAAAGTCGAGTTTAAAAATAAAAATTTGTCTTTTTTTTACTATTGCTTTTCGTTAATAGTCGAAGTTTAGATTGTATGTGTGCATGTGTGTGTTGTTTACTGCCCAACTATCTTTATTACAATATCATTATTATTCTTTTTCACTATATTATCTACAATACACTATATTATCTACAATATAACATCCAGACTAATTTCAGTTCTTGCTATGATTTTCATAAGAAAAATCAGCCACATTTTCATAAATAATGAACGTTTGAGATGTCTAATGAGATAAATGTCTGTCTCCATTTAGATAAAGTACAACAATTTCAAATTATGAAAGTCTCAAGTTTTTGGTTCTTGAAAAGATTCTTACAAAACTTAATACTAAATTTTTACTTTAAACAGCCTTGATTCTACTGATAGTTTTATGCACAAATTGTTTGAAATGTGCAGTTCAACAGAATGCTACATTCCAGTAGCGGATCTAGCACTACGGCGGTCCGGCGACCGCCGCCCCCTCGCAAATGGAATTCTAATGCAAGTTCACTAACAGACTTCCTCAGAAAAAATATTCATACTACCCCGGACCATAGATGTAATCGATCAAGATTTTCTAGACCGGGTCGATAACCGGTCGAAAAATTTCTGACCGGGCCGGGCTCGCTGGTCGGCCGGTCATATATTTTCCTAGTGTGTAAGTGTAAAAGCCTAACGACAGAGGAGTGCTAAGGCTTCTGGAAAAACGTCCATAGCTCCGGAACCATGAATTTCCAAGATGTCTCTTAGATCCAGTTTTGTAGAGGACACTTCGGACTATATATGTATGAAAACAAATCCATAGATTTCTATGTCAGCTTTCAGAGAACCGAACTGGTTTTCCACAGATCTTCACGGCCTTGTATTTTAGCGCCGATAATAGTGCAACAAACATTAAAAAAGAAAGAAAAACGAACGGAATATTCGCATAATAGAGATTAACAGTCCTACTCTCGAAGACTGTTGACAAAAAAGAGAAAACCAAACTAACTTTCTTAATCTGAAGTATGAAAAGCTTTGTTTTACTTAGCTCAGAAAATTCGTTTTCTACAAAGTACTGATTTTTCAGACAAAAAAACATTTTTTTTCTCGACCGACCGATCAGAAATTCCTGACCGGTGACATCTCTACCCCGGACGACATCGTTTAGAAATCGCCACCCCGTCGGTAGAATCCTGGATCCGCCACTGCTACATTCTGGACAAAATAAGCTAGTGCGTACATTTTAGCGATATATCGCTAAAGAGACACTTTTTATAGTAGAGTGAGATGTAAGTAAAACAGCTGATAAAAAGAGATATTTAAGTCTGTCAAATGGCGAGAAAACTGTTCGCTAACTTATTTTATGCAGATTGTAACATTCTGGTGAGCTGCACAGTTCAAAATAATTTGAAACTATTTACAAATCACTCACTCATGCTGTGGGGCTAGTGTTCAGAGAATCAGGCTAAAACATACACAGACAGCAACAAAATTTTGCATAGGGAATGATCGTTATAGTCATTTTTCATAAAATTATCAGTGGGTCAAAGTTGTTTAGAATTAGAATTTAGTATTAAGTTTTGTAACAATTTTTTAAAAACCTGTCCAATACTTCAAATTTTAGATAAAAGACAACCAGTTAATGCAGATTTATGTTCATTTTGAATGGTGTATTCACATTTGCTTTTTGTGTAGTTTTAAACTTTAACATTTAATTTCTTGATGTTTATCGATGGAATTTTTCATTTGAGTTCTAATTCAAAGGAAGTATATGATATTAAAATCTTCAATATATTTTTCTTTCAGAATATCTATGAGCATTGATCAATTGCTTTTTTTTCCATTGTATTTTAAATTTTTGAAGGTCAGAACATTTTCGACATTTTTAGAGTTGCTTTCTGGTATTTCCAACATAACAGTAAAAGTCAGAGAAAATTAGATCAAAAACTTCTCCCAATGAGGGAATGTTTCATCATCCACATTCTTCTTCCTCCCGCTTCTGAATTTATTAAAACCCATGTAGATCTACACGTTTTATTGCCAGCGTTTTAGATTAGGGAATGGACATCCACCTCCTCGTTCGGATAGGAATTACTCAAAAAATTTGGGCTTACTCAAAAATTTTTTAGGAAACTTAACCCTTTGGGGACCGGATTATTTTTTCGAAAAAGAAGAGAACACCGCCGGATAGAACGGCAAATCTGCCGCCGATCCGAAATTTTTTTGACATAGCCACCGTGAAAGAGCGCATTTTTCTGCATAGGTTTCCACAATTGGTATAGCCTTTTATTGAAATTGTCCTAGTAGAAATGGAAGAGTTTCGAAAGGCCCGATACTTGTCCACAGAGGAGAGGGTCACTGTATAGTGTTTTTGAAATATATGATGCGCTTTAACTTTCCGCGATGGTTAATCCTATGGTTGAATGCAGCTTTATTTCCTCTACAAAACCCCATTAGTCACTTAACCCTTTCAGGACCAACTTATCCTTTCAGAGCCAACTTATTTTGAGCAAAAATTACAAATTTTTCAACTTTTCAAAAATGATTTATTTTTTCCAGATTCATCAAACCCTCTAGCCATATCTAGAATGAAACTGATGAAGCACGAAAGTGTAAAAAAAGCAGACGCAATGTATACTTCAAAGAGACGCGAATAAAATTCGAATTCTGACGCGTCAGATCACATGAAATTTCAATGACGTTTTAAAACGTCACCAGTCCCGAAAGGGTTAAACTGTCTTTTAATGAAGCTTAGTGGTTTTTTCTAGCGTCAGAATAACTTGGTTTTTTTCCTTGAGAAGCTACTTCTTATTGTTGATGAATCTTGTTCGGAAAAAAGGTATGATAAAGAAAGAAAATAGGCGTTTACTGTCAAGTTCATTTTCCGTCTAACAATTAGTTTAAAACATACAGTCACTCAAAAAAAAATTTAGCTCAAAAAGTGCGTTATTCAAAAACGTTTAGTTATTCAGCAGACTTCCCACCCGCTCCCAAAACTTGCATCGAAAATACTGTTTGTTGCATAGAATACTTTGACCTTCTAGTTAACAGATTTACTATAATTCGTTTACAACTGACTGTGTACATCTAGTAATATACAATTCTAATATATAATGTACAAGTACTACATAATCCTACTAAAACAAAATTGTAAAACAACATAATATATCCTCAAAATAAATCCGGTAAACTCTGCACTTTTTTTATGCTCAATTTTTCAAGTTTTGAGTATGTTGAAAAATTCTATAGTTTTTTTACGATATTCAACACTGTTGTTATTAGTAGTATTCAGTGTTTAGCTAATACTTTTGGAAGAACATAAATCTAAAAAGTTAAATCATCATTTAAAAGTCTGCAAAATTGTGCACTGTGTATGGGTTTCAGTTAAGGACATAAAAACAATTAACACCTGATTTGTTGTGCTTCCGAATGGGATATACTTAAAGATCGCAAAAATTCCAGATTGTAGTAATTCTTAGCCAACTGTTATTTTGATATGATTCAGCTACTGGTATTTCAAAAACTGATATGAATGCTTTTGTGCTACGAACAGGTGACACGTATGGTAGGATATAAGAGAAATAATTTTGCAAATTTTATGGCACAACGCAACACTTGTTTCGTCATATGGACATAGTTTATCTCAGTGTTCTGCCGGACGACTCTTTCGACTTGATCAATAATATATGACGCCTTTTAAGTCTTTCCTGAAAGTTTCCTTGAGTCAGCATGAGATTTGACCGAGATATAAGAATTTTAATTTCTCCTGGTAACAGAACAGGCGAACAACCGGTTTTTCATAAACATGCCTCTGGCAAAGTTATTTTCATTTCTGCACAAAAATAAATGTTGCCACTATGCTCAGCGTAGTCGATCATCTATATTCCATGGCACTTTGAGATTTCCAGAGATGCCTGCTCGCGGAAAGCGAGTAGTTGTCCGAACGACAATAGCTGGAGAGCTGGGACTTGCATAATTTTGTAGAGTAACGTTCAGACTACCTACGCATGCAAAAAAACGACTAACTTTATATGTTAGTTTTCTGAGAATGGAGCTGATTTTCCAAAAATCCACTGGAAAATCGGACTTCCAGGAAATTTTGAAACAAGTTTCTGCTTACAAAAACATGTCTTAGGGTCTTAGTAACAGGATGGCGAAAACCGCAGGTCGCTATCCATCAGTGTAATTGAGTTATTCAAAACGCAAGCGATGGCATTGTATTTTGGAACAGATAGTAGTTTTCCACTCAGTCAAAAAAAAATATCAAGAGAAGGAGTATGATGGAGCACTCTTTTTGGAAAAAAAAGGAAAGGAGTACTCTTTTTTCGAAAAAGAGTGCTCCATCATACTCCTTCTCTTGATATTTTTTTTGACTGGGCGGGTCTTCAAGAACCACGAGGGAAAATGTTTTATGCCATCGTAATCAGCTCGTCGAGCTCTATAAATTAGGATGTACCATTGAAAAGTAAGAGTAACACTTTAGGACCTTCCCTCGTCAGCAGAAATACTGAGGCTATGAAATTGATATTAGCAAATACCAACAGCAAACGCGACAAAAGATAATCTGGATCTATTTCAATAAAGCTTTCAGACAACTTGCATTTCGAGCAAGATGAATTTTTTTATCGTGCTAATTTGTGTTGCGATTAATGAATGAATCATAAATATTCTCATGAAATTCTTCAGAATGTAGATACTGTACATTCCAGATGTGTTCTAAATAACTAAATAATGTTAATGGTAAAAAAAATGTTGACCCCGACGTGACTCGAACACGCAACCTTCTGATCTGGAGTCAGACGCGCTACCGTTGCGCCACGGAGTCTGTTCTTCTACTCGGTGAATACTAGACTCTTTCTAATAAATTTTGAATTTAAATTTTACATTTATTTTGATATTTAATTGATTGAAATAATTTGCTAACACATCTTATGAAATAGTTTCAACGACAACAAATCGAATTGATTAATCTTCACTTAAAATGGAAGAGTTTTAATTAAATTTGATGGTATGAGTTAAAATAAAAACTGTGTTTCAAGTTGACATTTGATGATTTACCTATTTCAAATGTTAGTTAGTGTTAGTCTATTTCTATATTAAATACATATCCATAAGGAATATCATTTGAAGATGCCTTGCCTCTTTCCATAAGATGTACGAATAGATGTCCAACTTAATTTTTTGTGCTCATCAATTTTATTTCTACGGTAGATTAAACAATTTTGGAATGAAATAAATTATCAGTGTAACCAATTTTGTTCATTAAAACTGATACAAAGTGATTTGTTTCTTTTTATTTGTGCTATTTTTGGAACACCATAGTCTCACACAGACATTGTTTTCGTTCAATTGATGATCGAACATTGTTATGTGGTCAAATGTGTGAGAGTGATCTTCTTCCTGTATGATGTGTATCAGCTATATGCTGGAAGTATATATAGTTTAAGAGACGACAATTGCAAAATCAGAACAGAAAGAGAAAGAATATTTGTAACGGCGAGAATTTCTTTATTTTTCGCATCATGTTCATTCTCCTTTGGGAAATCTGTTTTGTCCGTTACACATTGAATATAGTAGTGAGAAAGAAAAAATGCGGTTGATGAAGAAAAAAAAAATACATTTGATGCCTCTTTCGCGGTCGTCGGTTAAAAATAATTTTTCTTTCTTTTTCTTTTTCTTCTTATTATTGATAGATGAGTACCATCTAGTGATAGTTCTGTTTAACCTATATGTATATGTTTTAGATCTGAACTTAAAGCACACATATCATTTTTCTTCACACTACTCTTTTGATAAATCAGAAAAGAACATTTATCCAAGTTCTTTTCGTTAAAAATAAAATGGAATCCGTTAATTCAATACCATCAACATTTGACCAGCAACAGTATCCTGTAGCAATCACAAATGGAATTAATCAAAATGGTCATGATTATGATGAAGATGAACATAATAATATTCATGCAACAAATGGATTACAAGAACAAGATATACACGAAAAAAAACTAATTCAGGATCGAGTATGTAACGTAATCTTTGTTTTTTGATTTTAAAATTAATTTTTTTGTTTTATTCGTTTGTTTAGACGGTTGAAATTGATCCATTGGATGCACGTGAAATACAAGTATTAGAAACAGCTGAAGATATTCAGGCACGACGTGATCAAGTTTTAACACGTTTTCAAAATTTTAAAGAGGCTGCAAAATATCGTCGTGAAAAATTAGAAGATTCACGTGAATATCAATATTTTAAACGTGATGCCGATGAATTAGAAATATGGATTAATGAAAAATTACAAATATGTTCACAAGATGATAATTATCGTGATACATCGAATACTCAAGTAGATTGAAAATATTTAGTGTTTGAATAAATACACGTCTTTTGATTTTTGTTTGTTCTAGACTAAAATTCAGAAACATGAAGCATTTGAAGAAGAAGTTGCTGCACATTACAATGCCGTTGTTCGTCTAGATGATGAGGGTGAAGCAAAAATTCAACGTGGTCATTTTGCTTCAGATGCAATCAAAGTATATTCTTTAGAAATTGATTATACTTTAATGTTATGACTTTCTTTTTTTCAGAATCGTCTTGAAGAAATTCATAATTTATGGCAATTATTATTATCACGTTTAGGAGAAAAATCCAATCGGTTAAAATTAGCATTGAAATTAGAGCAATTTCTACGTGATTGTGATGATTTCATATATTGGATGCGCGATAAAGTAAAGAAAAAAAGCATTTTCCTAGTTTATACATAGCTAATAGAACATGTCTTATTATGTCTAGGAAACATTTGTCTTATCCGATGATTTTGGTAAAGATTTACAAAGTGTTCAAACACTACAACGAAAACATGACGGTGTTGAACGAGATTTGGCCGTGTTACAGGATAAGGTGCGTATTCACAGTATTCTATTAGTATAAGGTTCAATGAAACTATAGGACGATCTTATTTTTCTAAATGTGAAGTAGGTAAAATTTATTAACGTTTCTTTTTTTCTTTTTATAATTTCAGGTTGAAAATTTACGAAAAGAAGGTTCAAGAATTGAAGAAGATATACCTGAAGGTTCTAATCAGATAAATAAACGTTTACAAGATATGATGCAAGCATGGGATGATTTAAGAACAAAAGTATAAATGAACTAACTACTTTACCCATTTTTCTCTTATTTATAGAATATTCACCTATTTTTAGTCTGAAGAACGTAAAACAGTCTTAAATGAATCATTTCGTCTTCATCGTTTTTTATCTGAATTTCGTGATTTAATGAATTGGACATTGGATATGGAGGCTCAATTAACATCCGATGAGTTAGCTAAAGATGTTGGTGGAGCAGAAGCACTTGTTGAACGTCATTCTGAATTCAAAGTAAGACTAAATAAATTCTTTATTTCTAAATATTTAAATTAATTTTGTGTATTTAAGGGTGAAATTGATGCACGAAAAGATAGCTTTGAAAATGTTCAACGTATTGGTGAAGAATTAATTCAACAAGATCATTATGCTAAACAAGAAATTGATAATAAATTAAACGAATTAAATGATCAAAAAGTCAAACTCGATTATTTATGGACACAACGTTTAATATTATTACAAGATTGTATGCATTTACAACTATTTCTTCGTGATATTGATCAGGCACTAATTTGGATACATAAACAAGATCAATATTTAATATTAAATGATAATGAAACATGTCATACATTAGATGATTGTGAAGCATTAATTAAGAAATATGATGATTTTGAAAAATTACTTGCCGCACAAGATGAAAAAGGTAACATTATAATAGACATTCTTAAAATATAATTCTAATTTTTATTTTTATTTTAGGAAAAGCTTTGGATGAATTTGGTCGTCAATTATTGGATAATCAACATTATTCATCTGATTTAATTCGTGAAAAATTAGATTTATTATCTAAATCACGTGTTTTATTATTAGATAAAATTAGTGAAAAACGTCGTATGTTACAAAATACATCAAATTATTTTACATTTGAACGTGATTGTGATGAATTAAAATTATGGGCAAAAGAAAAATTAAAAATGGCATTAACAAAAGATTATATGGATACATTAAATATTAATTTAAAATGTCAAAAACATCAACAATTTTTAAATGAATTAGCTGCTTATCAACCAAAAATGGATAGTGTTATATTAAATGGTCAAAAATTAATTGATGAAGAACATTTTCAAACAGCAAATATTAATCAACATTTAACAGAATTAGAAGATATTTTAAATCGATTAGTTGAAGCAGCAAATGAAAAATCTGATCGTTTAAAAGAAGCTACAGATGGTCAAACATTTATGCGTTCATTAGAAGAAATTGATATGTGGATAAATGATGTTGAAAATACATTAACAAATGATGATTATGGAAAAGATATGACATCAGTACAAAATTTACAAAAAAAACAACAATTGTTAGAAAATGAATTTAATATTAAAAAGGAAAAAATAGATCAATTATCAAAAGATGCTGAACATTTTCAACAAGTTGGTCATTTTGATGCAAATAATATATTAAAAAAACAAATACAATTGGTTAGTCGTTTTCAATCACTCTTAGAACCATTACAAATGAAAAAAATCAAATTAAATGCATCATTAGAATTACAACGTTTATTGCATGATATTGAAGATGAAGAAGCATGGATTAGAGAAAAAGAACCGTCAATTATGTCGACAAATCGAGGTTATTTAATTTGTTTTGAGAAAATAAGTTGTGAATATGAAATAAAATTAAAGTCTATTTTTGTTTAGGTCGCGATTTAATTGGTGTTCAAAATTTATGTCGTAAACATCAAGCACTCGGATCTGAAATTCAAAATCATGAGGGACGTATAAGAAAAGTTTGTAATGAAGGTGAAGATATGATTAATCAAGGTATGTTTTCTTCTTTTTATTTTCTATAATAACAATTTAATAAATATTTGTTAAATAAAAGGTCATTTTGCTGCACCTGAAATTAAAAAACATACTGTTAATTTACAATTTAAATGGCAAAATTTAAAAGAAGTATCTAGTCAACGTAAAAAAGATTTAGAAGATTCATTATTGGCTCAACAATATTTTAGTGATGCAAAAGAAGTTGAAACATGGATTAAAGAAAAAGAACCGTTAGCTCAATCATCTGATTATGGTCGTGATGAAGATAGTTGTGATGCATTATATAAAAAACATCAACAATTATTTAATGATATTAAAGCATTTGAACAAACAGAATTAGTAGATTTACGTCAAAAATCTCAAAAATGTAATCAACCAGAAAAACCATTAATAAGTGATGATTTAATAATTGGTGGTAGACAAAAAGTATTAAGTTTATATGATTATGGTGAAAAAACACCACGTGAAATATCAATGAAAAAAGGTGATACATTAATATTATTAAATTCATCAAATAAAGATTGGTGGAAAGTTGAATTAAATGATCGACAAGGTTTTGTACCCGCTACATATTTGAAAAAAATTGAAAAAGAACCAATAACAATGAATGAACAAGAAAAATTAGATGAATATACGGTAAATTCCAGACAACAACAAATTGAAAAACAATATGATCATCTATTACAAATATGTCAACACCGTTTAGATAAATTAGGTATGTAATGAGTGATTAAGAAATTTTATTAGAATAATTTTTATATTTTTTATTCATATTTTAGCTGAAGCATCTGATGCTTATAAATTAATGCGTGAAGCAGCTGATTTAGTTATATGGATTAATGATAAAGAACGAATAGCCACTGAAGATTCATTAGGAAAAGGTCCTGATGATGTTGAAGAATTACAACGACGTTTTGATGAATTTCAAAAAGAATTACGTACAAATGAATTACGATTAATTCGTTTAAATTCAATTGCTGAAAAATTATTACAATTGGGACGAACTGAAGCAGCACAAAAAATACAAATTGATATTGATAATTTAAATCGTAAATGGCATGGTTTAAAGAAAAATGCTGAAGAACGAGAAGCTGCACTATTATCTGCCTATGAAGTTCAACGTTTTAATCGTGATGTAGATGAAGCAAAAGATTGGATTGATGAAAAAGTACATCAGTTAGATATGGATGAATTAGGAAAAGATTTAAGAAGTGTTAAACGTTTACAAAAGAAACATGAAGCATATGAAAGAGATTTGAACGCTCTGGGAGATAAAATTAAAGAATTAGGTTAGTGAAAAGTAATGTCAATCTGTTCAGAATTGTTTATTGTATGTAATATTTTTTAGACGATTTGACAAAACGTTTGATTACAGCTCATCCTGAACAAGCTGAATTGATCATTGAAAAACAACATGCAATACAAAATGAATGGACAGATTTAACAACGAAAGCTGATCAACATAAAGCAAAATTATTGGATGGTTATGATTATCAAAAGTTTTTAACAGATTTTCATGATTTAGCTGCTGTTATTAAATCAATCATTCAACAAATATCGAGTAATGAATTGGCTCGCGATGTTCCTGGTGCTGAAGCATTGTTAGAACGTAAGTTTCATCAAATTTTAAATGAACATTTTTAATTTGACTTTTTGTCTTTTAAAGGTCATCATGAACATCGTAGTGAAATAGATGCACGTTCAGGCGCATTTCAAGCATTTGAAGATTTTGGTAATGATTTAATACGTTCATCTCATTATGCTGGTGATGATATTAAAGAAAAATTACATGAAATGGACGATATTAGAGAACAATTAGAAGGGTAAGATAATTTAATAAGGAAAAAAAGATTTGTTTTGAATAATGTAAATCTATTTTCGATAGAGCATGGAAAGAACGTCAAGATAAATTAGATGAATGTTTGGAACTACAATTATTCTATCGTGATTGTGATACAGCTGAACATTGGATGGAAAGTCGTGAAAAACAATTGAAAGATGAAGCGGTTGAAGTTGTTGAAGCAGCTATTAAACGTCATGAAGATTTTGATAAAGCTATTAAAGCTCAAGTATGTTTGCTTTTTTTACTGTTTTTCATTTCAATAACGTTTATCTCTTCATTTATAGGAAGATAAAATCAATAATTTGAAACAATTTGCTAATCAGTTGGTATCTCATGGACATTATGAACGCGATGGTATTAATGAACGTTTAAATAGTGTACTAGATCGATGGTCACGTTTAAGATTAGCCATGTTGGATTATCGTTCACGTTTGGGTGAATCACAAACATTACAAGATTTTTCGCGTGATGCTGAAGAAATTGAAGCATGGATTGCCGATAAATTAGCAGCTGCTTCCGATGAACCAGTAAAAGAAACACAAAACTTACAGGTATGAATAATTATGAAATGAAAGAAAAAGTATTAAACTATAGAACGGATTCCATTAATTAATGGTTTTAAACTTGTAATATAAGATTATTTTTCCATATGCTCTCATAGGCTAAAAAATTACAAGTAAGCATAAGATGTGTGTACTTTTTGTGTTCTATAGTAGTCTCGTGTGTATAGTTGTAGTGAAAAGTCGATTTTTTTCCGTTATCAGATGTCAATGTCGTTAGAGTAAACTTGTTATTATTCAAAACAAAGCCAAGAATTGTTTATATATGAACCCATTATATCGAACTATCCATTGTATTTATTTGAGCTTTTTTTTCTACTGCCAAACTGTTTTTATCCTTTGCTTACACTTCCCTTGCTAAAGTCTTGAGAGATAATTCGTTTGCTTTTTCCAAAATCATGTAGCTATACTTACATATTCATACATGTATAAGAGCCGAGATTTTTATCTTTACCTATGCGCTCATCATTCATCATCGGGAAGCTTGTTAGAAATCTAAACAGATAAAAGCAAGTGCAAATGAGCAGAGTGTAAATTGATGTCCTTTTGTGTAGTTTGTACGTGTGTGTTTGTTGTGTTCCTTTCTCTGTGTGCCGTGTTTTACATAGTTCTGCATGTATCAAATTTTTGGTTTTATTTTTTCTAAATGAGGCATGAGCAGTCATGCTTTCCTTGGTTTGTCTTGCGAAAATAGATGGTAACTTAATACTCAATCAGAATTTATAAAAATTTTACTTTATAGAGTAAAAGTCAAAAACATCAAGCATTTGTGGCAGAATTGGCAGCTAATACCGATCGTATCCAGTCAATCATTGGCATGGGACGAGGTATGATTTTTGATTCGTTTGTTTTCTTGATTAAAATGTTTTGTTTTCTTTTAGGTCTTATTGATTCTCGAAAATGTGCCGGTTTGGAAGGAACAGTTGATAATCGTTTATCCCAAATAATTGAACAATGGGAATTTCTTGTTAATAAATCATCAGATAAAAGTTTAAAATTAAAAGAAGCATCAAGACAACAAACATATAATGCTGGTGTTAAAGATGTTGAATTTTGGCTTGGAGAAGTAGGGAAAATAGGTGTCTTATGTCGCTAACAAATAGTCTTCAATATTTTGTCAATTTAGATTGAAAATCAACTTGCTAATGAAGATGTAGGCAGAGATTTAGCATCTGTACAAAACATGTTAAAAAAACAACAATTATTAGAAACGGATATTGCCAATCACGAAGTAGATGTTAAATAATTTTTTTAAAAATTTAAAACTAATTTTATATTCTCTTGCATATATAGACTGTTATTCGAGAATTAAATACAACTGCTGATGAATTTGTTGAAAACAACATGTTTGATGTCGAAAATATTAAAGAAACACGTAATACAATCAATGATCGATTTCAAAAGTAATTTAAACGTAATGAATTCGGTTTGTTAATGATCATTCTCCTTATATTTTTTTAGAGTTCGTGCTCATGCCGATGGACGTCGTCAACGCTTACAAGAAGCAAGCACTGTACATCAGTTTATTCGTGATTTAGAAGATGAAGAAGCACAAATACGGTAAAGATTCTTTTTTTATTTGATTGATGAGATTGATAATGTTAATCTTATTGGTTTTTTAGTGAAAAGAAACTTCTGGTCGCTAGTGATGATTATGGACGTGATATAACCGGTGCACAAAATCTTCGTCGTAAACATAAACGATTCGAAGTTGATCTTGGCACTCATGAACAAAACGTTCAAAATGTTCAACAATTGGGTAATCGATTAACTCAAGAAGTAGGAAATCCGGATATTGAACGAAAATGTAAAGAATTAGCGAATAATTGGGAAGCATTAAAAGAATTAGCTGATGACAGGTAATGTATTTTCGATTAGGTACTTCTCTCAAGAGGATAAATCTATTCTTTTTGGCTTATAGAACACGAAAATTAGAAGATTCTCTCACATACCATAATTGGGCATCGACATTAGATGAAGAAAATGCTTGGATTAAAGAACGTCTTCATATGATGAATCATCCAGATATTGGAAATACATTAGCAACTGTGCAGGTATATCAATGTAATTTCTTAGTTATTATTAATTAAATATATAAAATCTCTTAATTCATTAGGGTTTACAAAAGAAACATGATGCATTTGAATCCGATTATTCTGTACATAAAGAACGTTGTGCAGAAATACTTCAACAAGGACAAAAATTAGTTGATCAAGTATGTACATCGTATATGTTCATTTTCATTATTTTTGATTTCATTCTTATTTATTAGAATAATCATTTATCACCTCAAGTAAATGATCGTATGAAAAATTTACATGATGCATTAAAAAAACTTGAAAATGATTCTATTCGACGTAAACAACGTTTACAAGAAAATACGGCATTATTACAATTTATATGGAAAGCAGATGTAGTCGAAAGTTGGATATGTAAGTATTTAGAATATTCAATATATTCATTTTACATTAAGTCTATGTGTGTGTATATATGATTTATTTTAGTTGAAAAACTTCATCAATTACGAACAGATGATCTTGGCCATAATTTATTATCGGTACAAAATTTGTTAACAAGACATGAAACATTTGAAGCTGGTTTACAAAATTTTGAACATGAAGGAATACGAACAATAAAAGAATTGAAAGATGAATTAATACAAAATAATATTGGTGGTATTGAACAAAATGAAAAAATAAAAGCAAGATACACACAAGTCATTGAGAAGTAGGCACCTTGTTTATTGTTCTTGTTTCTAATATATCAATAGACTCTTGTTTTTATCCATATTCTACTTTTGTCAGATGTACTGTTAGAATAGTCTCCATTGATCATATAAATCCTCATCAGTATCAAACAAAATAATTTTTACTTGGCCATTATATAGTTCTACTATGACAAGATCTCTTACGTCGAATGATAATACGAGATAATTTTATGCTTTATGAACAATTTACTTACTTTATATTGTTTACTTTTTTTCTAGTTGGGAAAAATTGCTTCAGATGAGCACATTACGTCGTGATAAATTGAAAAAAGCAGAACAACGTTTTCGTCATATTGAAGAATTATTTTTACGTTTTGCTAAGAAAGCTTCTGCTTTCAATTCATGGTTTGAAAATGCGGAAGAAGATTTAACAGATCCGGTTAAATGTAATTCGTTAGAAGAAATTCGTGTAAGTAATTAGACCCCGTAGAGCATCATTTTGTGACTACTGATGTTAATTATTTGATGTTTTTTAGGCATTAATTGAAGCTCATGATAAATTTAAAACCGTATTAGAAGAAGCTCGATATGATTTTGATGAATTGAAAGCATCGGATGATAGTATCAAATCATTAAATATGGGACCAAATCCTTATACATGGTTTACAATGGAAACATTGTTTGACACATGGAAAAGTCTTGAAAAATTAATACGTGTAAGTAAATTTGATCTATTTGATGGATAATTACTCTCTATTGTTCCATTAGATATATAAATTTTGATAAATAATGAATTTTTAAAATATTAGGATCGTGATCAAGATTTACAAACGGAAAGAAAACGTCAAGAAGAAAACGATAAACTTCGACAGCATTTTGCTGAATATGCAAATGCATTTCATACATGGTTGAGAGGCATAGAGTAAATATCGAAATTATTAGTTTTAATTTTCGTTATTTTTTATATTTTTATTTTTCTTATTTCAGAACATCAATGATGAATGCCGATGGAAATCTTGAACAACAACTCCAAACAATCAAAGTAAGCATTGTAAACTTCCAGAACTCTTTCATTTAAGTAGAAAAAGTATATTAAATTTTCTCTTGATGAATGAATACTATTTTTCAAAAAAATTGTTTACCACTTCAATTGAACGTGATAAACTGTATAGTGATGTGATTTATTTTTCACTTCTAGCAAAAAGTTGATGAATTACGTCAACAACGTCAAAAATTGAAAAAACTTGAAGATTTAGCTACAGAATTAGAAAGACGTCTCATTCTTGACAATAGGTACGATTATTTGATCTTGTATGCCTTATTAACTGATTATAATTGTTTGATCTTTATAATTTTAGATATACCGAATATTCGGCATTAAATTTAGCTCAAGCATATGATCAACTAGATCAATTGGGTATGCGTATGCAACATAATTTAGATCAACAGTTACAAGCAATGAGACACAGTGGTGTATCGGAAGATCAATTAAAAGAGTTTTCAATGATGTTTAAACATTTTGACAAAGATAAATCAGGACGTTTAAATCATCAAGATTTTAAATCATGTTTAAGAGCATTAGGTTATGATTTGCCAACGGTTGAAGAAGGACAACGTGATGATCAATTTGAAACACTTTTAGATTTAGTTGATCCAAATAGGTTAGTCATCTTAGTTTTGGTACTAATTTTTTATAGGGTTACGATGGTATATTTCTGCTTTTCTTTTTTTTCTAAAGAGTTGGCTATGTTGGATTACCAGAATACATGTCGTTTATGATTAGCCGTGAAACAGAAAATGTTTCATCAACAGACGATGTTGTCACAGCATTCAGAAGTTTAACAGAAAATTCTGAACGACCGTATATAACAAGAGACGAACTTTATGCGGTAAGTTAGAGTTTGCTCACTCATAAGAAAGATCCGGGTAAAAATTAGTGTTTATCACTTCTCGCTTCTGTCAAGTTTTGGATGATCCATCTTTTTCATTTGAATGTGTTTTAAAAATGAGTCGTTAACAATTGACATTCGAAAATTGCCACTCTCATTGGTTTCCATCTTCTTCTAGAATCTTCCATCAGAACAAGCTGATTTTTGTTGTCGTAAAATGAAACCGTATCGGGATCGTACTGGTCGTGAAATTAATCAAGCATATGATTACGATGATTTTACTAGATGGCTATTTAATCAACAGCCTGGCTATCATTATTCAAGTACGACCACGTCACCGTCCACGTCCTGGTTACAGACATCAACTCAGTTATCTGCACATTAGAGAATTTTCTACTATTTTTAATGTTGTAATCGTTATTTTAGCATGCTATAAAAAAGATCTATTTGTATTCGTAACGAGTACGATTGCTCTTTTTTTTTACTTTTGTGAGATTTCTCATCAGAAATGATCTCTCACAACCCTTTTTATGTACTAATAGATTAAAATAACTGAATTGAGAATTTTTATAACTACTTTTTTTATTGTTGGTGGGCGTACTCTACCCGTTGTTGCTTTTGTTGTGCGCTGTGTATCTGTATTTTACTCGTTTCTTTTTTATTCTGCTTTTGTTTATCTCAATATACACTATGTACGGCGGTCTTTATATTAGTAGAAAAAATAACTGTATTGTTTGTGCAATAAAATATAAAATTACAATTAGATTATATACAATCTACAGAAGTACTATGGAATCGTACATTGGCGACAAGAACAACGTACAACGTGAAGCATGTCGTCAAACAATATACGTATTCTCTAAAATGTTGATAGATACAATAATCGTCGTGAATATCGTATTCCGTGTATCTCATGTCAAGGGGTAAAAAGCACATTCGGGAATGGGTACAAAATTTCTAGACTGGTATTCCGGAATGAAGGAATGGCAGTCTGAAATGGTGGACTACCATTTTCGAATGTTAGTTACTTAGTTAATGATACCAGTACCCAGCGGGTGTATGGTGAAGATCACCAAAATAAGGTTATGCTAAACTTTTGGGTGTACCAAGATGGTACAAAATTGTTCAATTTGGTGGCTGATGAAAGTTCGTTTGTCATAGGTCACATACCACTAAAACGTTCAGATTAACACCTCCGAGCTACCAAAGAAAGTGTTTGTAACAATGATGTTGTTAATTGCACAACATTCAACAAAAAATTCACCATTGAGATTATCCACATCAACTTTAGGTCTGCCAACCACTTCACCCTCTGTCAACTTTTGTTGTTGACCCCGCCGTGCATTAAAATCGTCCAATCGACTTCAAGAGCTAGCTGATAATATCTCAGTGCTTGAGAATAGTCACCTTGATCGCGGTAAACCAGTCCAATGTTGTCGTGCGTTGTTGCAATACTTGGATGGTTCGCTCCAAAAATCTTCAACTGGATTGCAAGAGCTTGCTCATAATATTGCAATGCCTGAGAATACTCGCCTTGATCATTGCAAACCAGTCCAATGTTGTTGTACGTTGTTGCAACACGCGGATGGTTTGGTCCCAACCTCAAGTCGATTTCAAGAGCTCGTTGATAATATTCCACTGCTTGAGAATACTCACCTTGATGTCTTTAAACCAGCCTGGATGGGTGTAAACCGGTCTAATGTTGTTGTACGTTGTGGCAACACTTGAATGGTTCGGTCCCAAGCTCGTCAAGTCGATTTCAAGAGCTTGCTGATAATATTTCAATGCTTTAGAATATTCGCGTCGATGTCTGTACACTCCACCAATGTTGTTGTACGTTCTTGCAACACTTGGATGGTTCGGTCCCAAAGTCTTCAAGTTGATTTCAAGACTTTGCTGATAACATTTCAATGCTCGAGAATATTCGCCTTGATGGGTGTAAACCACTCCAATGTTGTTGTACGTTGTTGCAACACTTGGATGATTCGGTCCCAAGCTCCTCAAGTCGATTTCAAGAGCTTGCTCATAATATTTCAATGCTTGAGAATAGTCACCTTGATCTCTGTAAACACCAGCAATGTTGTTGTACGTTCTTGGAACACTTGGATGGTTCCTCTTGGATAGTCCCAAACTCCTCAAGTCGATCTCAAGGGCTTGCTGATAATATTTCAATGCTTGGGAATAGTCACCTTGATCTCTGCACACTCCAGCAATGTTGCTGAACGTTGTTGCAACACTTGGATGATTCGGTCGCAAAGTCTTCAAGTTGATTTCAAGAGCTTGTTGATAATATGTCAGTGCTTGAGAATGACCGCCTTGATGGGTGTAAACCACTCCAATGTTGTTGTACGTTGTTGCAACACTTGGATGGTTCGGTCCCAAGCTCCTCAAGCCGATTTCAAGAGCTTGCTGATAATATTTGAGTGCTTGAGAATAGTCACTTTGATCGGTGTAAACCAGTCCAATGTTGTTGTAGGTTGTTGCAACACTTGGATGGTTCGGGCCCAAAGTCTGCAAGTTGATTTCAAGGGTTTGCTCATAATATTTCAATGCTTTAGAATAGTCACCTTGATCTCTGTAAGCTCCAGCAATGTTGTTGTACGTTGTTGCAACACTTGGATGGTTCTGTGCCAAAGTCTTCAACTTGATTTCAAGGGTTTGTTTATAATATCTCAGTGCTTGAGAATATTCGCCTTGATCGCTGTAAACCAGTCCAATGTTGTTGTACGTTTTTGCGACACTTGGATGTTTTGGTCCCAAAGTCTTCAAGTCGATTTCAAGTGCTTGCTGATAGTATTTCAGTGCTTGAGAATATTCCCCTTGATCACTGTAAACTCCACCAATGTTGTGGTACGTTGTTGCAACACTTGGATGCTTGGTTCCCAAAGTGTTCAACTTGATTTCAAGAGTGTGCTGGTAATATTCCAGTGCTTGAGAATAACCGCCTTGATGTCTGTAAACTCCAGCAATGTTGTTGAACGTTGTTGCAACACTTGGATGATTCGGTCGCAAAGTCGTCAAGTTGATTTCAAGAGCTTGCTGATAATATTTCAATGCTTGAGAATATTCGCCTTGATGGTTGTAAACCATTCCAATGTTGTTGTACGTTGTTGCAACACTTGGATGATTCGGTCGCAAAGTCGTGAAGTTGATTTCAAGAGCTTGCTCATAATATTTCAGTGCTTGAGAATAATCTCCTTGGTCATTGTAAACCAGTCCAATGTTGTTGTAAAGTGTACCCATGTCGGGGTTATTAGGCAACGTATTATTTATGAATCTTCTAAAATACCGTTCAGCTTTAGCGTATTCACCCATTTCTCTTAATAGACGTCCTAACGTGTTTAAATCAGATAATCCATCAGTTTCTTCTCTTATCTGTTCACTCAGCACTTTTAACTGTTCATCGCTTTCACTGTGCAGCAACAATTTTATACTCCAGATTCCACTGTCAGTTGCTTTTTCGACAGATTCTATTCGAAATATGGTCCCTATTGAAAATAGTACTTCATCTTCGTGCTTCATAACACTTAAATCTTTTATATTAGCGTAAGGTTTTGTGCCAATACTCGTATTAATTTGTATTTCAAACAGAATGGGTTCTAAAATGGGACTCAACGAACTGTTCCCAGCAAGGATTAAAGCTACATCTTTCTCAGATGTTGTTGATATGAAAGTATTCATTGAAATTAGTCGGCCAATATTGTCTTTTAGCTCATGTAATTCATCAGCTTTTAAATGCTGTCCTCGATAGACTGTGAAGAAGTATTCATGATCCGTGCAACGTACCATGAATTTCGAATGTTCCTTTTGCAATTGTCGATAAAGATCAGCAATGAAAAATCGAAATTTAAATATAATATCAATATCTCTTGTTCGAAGAGCTTTATTTAGGAGGCGATATACAAACGAATCACGCGTGTACCACCACACGGCTTCATCAGATGAATAATTTAAACGAAAATCCTTTATCTTTTCGAGTTCTTTATCATTGTCTCTGTAATATGATTCACATTCGGTTAACATTTCCATTTTCGATTCGTCAGATGTTGGCATGCGAAGTAGAACATCCATCAACAATTGATTCCACATAAATGCAGCGCTTTCTTTGTCTAAATCACGAATTGATTTTTCATGGTGTGATAAACTAAATACATTCATTGGTATCATGCCGTTTGATAAAACTTTAGCATCCTCAGCTAGCTGAATAAGAAGAGAGTCTTTATGAGTAAAAACACCACAAATTTTATTTTGATTATTTAGTTGATGATTAGTCCGTGTTTCGTGCTTAATTTTGTTTAGACAAAATATGTAGATAAATGTAATTTGAGATAGTTCGAAGATGAGGGGAGCAATGATTTCACCGAATGAACCGGACAGAATTAACAACACTTGCTCCACTTTAATTGATAAGATATAATCGACACATTCATCAGCATCACAAAACGTTCTTAAATGATTAGCAATGATCCTTAAATGCTTTTTTGTGTCGTGACAATCATCTGTTTTATCTATATCAGCGTCGAGCCAGACAACAGTAAAATTTTCAAGATTATGGTCGTTAGCATGGAACAGATGTGTCGCTGGTTCTCGAGAGAACATCGTTGTCGTTAACTAGAATGTGAAATGAGAACTGCTGAAGGATTGTTATGAGATTTCCAACATATTTTTGAGAATATACTATTTGCGTAGGTCTGTATCACATTGCTTGTACATCTTTCAATCATGATGTGCTGAGAAAAAATGTGTGTGGTAGAGGATGTGAAACTGACTCTCAGTATGAGATTCATTGCGCTATCTCATTGTGAATGAAATTCAGTGTGTTCTAATCGAACAATCTGTAGTCCTAAACCAATAATCAAGTAAACCGTCGAATTCAGTCGGGAACTAAGCGATAGATTATATTCAGAATGGATATCGGAAGCAGAATGCAATAATTAGTCATTATCTCGGCAACAGTGTTTTTAATGGGAATTTTAAGCAAAGTGGGTTTCCACAGTTTACCACTGGATTTTGCATGTTTTCCCTGCTAAAAACAAAGTGGAAACCGAATTCTCAAAGTGGAAACCCATTTTGCTCAAGCGAGATCCACCAGTTATTGAAAACACTGCTCGGCAAGAAAGTATCATTTCACTGTTCTAGCAGGAATAAAAAGGTGAAGAATTAGGAAACACTTTCTGTATTGTCAATCAAACTATACCTAGTTATGTATCGCATTTGCTCAAATCAGGTAAACTGAGCGCATGATTTTATGATGAAAAATTGAATCACATTTTCAGCTCCGGTTCTCTATGAGTCAAGTATAAATGCAGACTCTTTAGAGCGTAAGTGTAAAGGAGATGGGTGACGCATTTCTAGAGCGAGTTACAAGTTGGACCGGTCAAACTTACATTTTCAGTTCTGTCGGGAATAGGACATTTCGCACCAACTTTTCATTACGGACTCCGGGATGAAAGATGTTCGTTACGATCTCCGGACATAAGAAAAAAGACAGGGTGTTCAGAATTAAGTGTTCGGGAGTTCAGAATGACAAAAATCAATAAAAAATTTAAAAAACAGGGTGTTCGTAATGAATGTTGTTGA